CCAATTAACTACCAAAAAGGCACAAGCACAGCTGTGACTAAAGTGCTAAGAGCATCAGCCATGAGCAAAAAGACCAAATACTTTGGCCTGGGGTTCAAGTCCAGGTTCTCTCTCTCTCTCTCCCCACCTCAAGTCAAGGAGACTTGCAGCTCAGTGATATCATAGGCAGCAAGTAGTCTCACCACCAATGAGGCTGGAGCTGGAAGCAGATGCTGAGCTTCCCCGTCCCTCCCACACACACTATTGGACACCGATTGTGACCCCTAGAGTACTTTAGAGGAAATGGTCATGTCAGCTAGAAGACAACTCAGGAAAGGAATTTGAAATTACTGCTTAGAGTTGTAACATTTGAAGTATGTGGGAATGAACAGAGATATAAATGTAGATAATAGGCTGTTTTGGTTTGGGGCATTGCTGGGGATTCAAGCCAGGGATTTAAGCCAGCACATGCTCAGGAGCCCTGTACCAGCAGCCTCAATCCCAGCTCACTAGAGTTTCTTTGAAAGGGAGAGATCAGAGCAGGACTGAATAAGCCTTAAATTCTATACCCAATTTCCTTCACCGGGTTCTTCACATAACTACTTCTTAATAGAGGATGAAGAGGGAAACTCACCTGCAATACTTGCAACATCCACACTGGCAAACAAGGGGCCCAGGATATATGACCACTTAGGCAGCCAAAGCAAGAGGAAGAGCAATGGCTCCCTGGGACAATGCCAAAACACATTAAAAATTATGAAAGGAGACCACATGAAAGCCATGGATTCTCCTCACTGAATCTAGACTCTAGCCCGAACATCTAGCTAGAACATTTAGCCTTCAGCTAAAAGTTGTATTCCCCTCCCCAGTCTCCAAAACTCACTTGATACCTTCTTTGGGGCTATATAATATTCTATACTTCCTATAGCTTTATTTTATATACCTTACCTTAATATCAGAAAGTTGTTTTTTTTTTTTGCCAGTCATGGGGCCTGAACTCAGGGCCTGGGCACTGTTCCTCAGCTCTTCAGCTCAAGGCTAGCACTCTACCACTTGAGCCACAGTGCCACTTCCGGCTTTTTTCTTTTTGCTTATGTGATGCTGAGGAATCGAACCCAGGGCCTTATGCATGCAAGGCAAGCGCTCTACCACTGAGCCACATTCCCAGCCCAATATCAGAAAGTTTTTAACATTACTACTATGCAGCAGAGAAACAAAGTTTTGTTTGACAAAAGGAAAAATAATATCTCACACTATTTTTATTTTGGTGCCAGTACTGAGGCTTTTGTTTGGTTGGTTGGTTGGTTTTTTTTTTTGCCAATCTTGGGTCTTGCACTCAGGGCCTGGGCACTATCCACGAATTTCTTTTGCTCAAGACTAACACTCTACCACTTGAGCCACAGGGCCACTTCTGGAAACTTTGTCTGTGTATGTGGTACTGAGGAATCGAACCCAGGGCTTTGTGCATGCTAGGCGAGCACTCTACTACTAAGCTACATTCCCAGCTTCAGTACTGAGGCCTGAACTCAAGGCCTGAGCACTGACCCTAAGCTTTATTTATTTATTTATTTTTATTTTTTAATTTTTGCTTAAGGGTAGTTCTCTACAACTTGAGCCACAGCTCCACTTTCAGTTGTTTTTATGTTGTTGTTGTTTTGTTTTGTTTTTTGGCACTTAATTGGAGACTGAAGAGTCTCATGGACTTCCCTGCCTGGGCTGATTTTGAACCATGATCCTCAAATATCAGCCTCCTGAGTACCTAGGATTTTAGGTATGAGCCATCCACACTGGGCTCTTTTTCTTTTTCTTTCTTATTTTTTGTTGGTTGTGGGGCTTGAACTCTGGGCCTGGGCACCCACAGCGCCACTTCTGGTTTTCTGGTGGCTAACTGGAAATAAGCGTCCCATGGATTTTTCCTGTCCAGGCTGGCTTTGAACCATGATCTTCAGATCTCACTCTTCTGTGTAGCTAGGATTACAGAGAATTTGTTTTTAACTTTTTAAGTGCTAATACCAGAAACCTTAATTTGACTAGGCACAGTGGTGTATACATGCAATCCATCATTTTGAGACTGAGGGAAGAGTATGGAGAGTTCCAGACCAGCTTGGGCCATATCTCACCAAGTTGTTTTTAAAAAATCAAAACAAGAAAAATGAAAAATTTTACCTTGCTCATGTAATTGTAACCCCTCTGTACAGTATTTTCACAATAAAAAGAAAAGAAAAGTGAAAAATTAATCTAAAGCTTTCCTTCCAGGGCATTTCCTTACTCTGTACTTCTTAATGTTTATTTTAATTAATTTACTTGTTTGTTTGTCAGCCATGGCGCTTGCTCAAAGCTAACACTGTACCACTTTGAGCCATGGTGCCACTTCCAGTTTTCTCATGGTTAACTGGAGATAAGAGTTTTACAGATGGGGCTAGGAAAGTGGCTCAGTGATAGAGTGCTTGCCTTACATGCAGGAGACCCCAGGTTACATTCCTCAACACCACATAAGCAGAAAAAGCCGGAAATGACGCTGTGGGGCAAATGGTAAAGCACTAGCCTTGAGCTGAAGAGCTGAGGGACAGTGCCCAGGCCCAGAGTTCAGGCCCCATGACTGACCAAAAAAAAGTTTCACAGATTCACCTGCCCAGGTTGGCTTTAAACCAAGATCCTCAGACCTTGGCATCCTGAATGGCTAGGATTACAGGCATGAGCCACTGGTGCCTGGCTTAAATTTTTTTTTACTGTTATTAGAAAAGTGAAGTACAGAGGGGTTATAGTTAGATAAGTCAGACAAGAATATGGGGCTGGGAAGGTGGCTCAGTGGTAGAGTGCTTGCCTTGCATGCATGAGGCTCTGGGTTCGATTCCTCAGCACCACATAAGCAGAAAAAGCTAGAAGTGGCACTTTGGCTCAAGTGGTAGAGTGCTAGCCTTGAGCTGAAGAGCTGAGGGACAGTGCTCAGGCCCAGAGTTCAGACCCCATGACCGACAAAAAAAAAACCAAGAATACATTTGTTTTGGACAATGTCACCCCTTCCCTCGCACATTTCCTTACTCTTACACAATTGTTAACTATAGAGAGAAAGTGAGATTCAATTCAGTTCTCTTTACTGGGAAACAGACAACATTGATGTACCAATAGGCATTTACTTGAAAAAAAGAAGAATTAAGTCGAGACCTAGTGCTAAAGCTTCCAAAAGCAATACATGGTATATTTACTTCTGAAACTTACTTCAGGCAACTAGACACACATTAGCAAAATAACATGGAATTAAACAGTACTCCCAAAGCATATTCCATTCCCAAGCAAAAATGGGAAAAGATTTAGTTAGGATGAGCATCAGTGGCTCAAGCCTATAATCCTAGCTATTCAAGAGGCCTCCATCTGGAGGACCGAGCTGGGAAGCCACTTAGGCAGAAAAGTTCACTTGCTGTCCAGTGAACTATTTCCAAAATAATCAGTAAAAAGCCAGGCTGGAGGTGTGGCTCAAATGGTAGAGGTCCAGTCCAACAAGTATAAGGCACTGAGTTTAAACCTCCGTACTTCCAAAAAGTTTAGCCGTTAAGTCTAGTCTTTTATTAGTTTTTGCATGTAGTCTATCACTTTGTTCCCACATACACTCTTAAATTTGTAAGCAAGACCTCAACTATTTCTCACCTGAAAATGGATACTCCCAATATAGAACATATAGAAAAAGATCTAAGTAGAGCTTTAATGATATACTTGTATAGCCGGGGGAGGGGCAGGTCTAATAGGTGAGATATGTATGTATATGTGTATATATATATATATATATTCTTAGTATCAGTATGAATAAAAAAATAGTAATTTCATTTCTCTCTAATAACCTAGACTAGACCCCATAAAATACACCAATCAATTCCATTCATTTCACAGTAGCTGACACACTGTTGACTGTACATACTTGTTGACTGATGAAAAATGGTCACTCAGGAAACACAAATTCCAGGTAGTCAGTCAAATTAGAAAGCAAGGCAAGGTTTGTTCTCAGTGTCAACATTTTCCAGTTACACAACCAGGGCAACAAATGAGGTAAAATTCTACCACATTTATAAGTCACAGTTCAACACGTTCTTCTTTGAGCACTAAAACTTTATTTGCAAAAGCTAGGATTAGGTTAAAAGACTTTTAAATTAAATATGCACAGTGCAATTTTACAGACCAGTTGTTTTATTGCTTAATATTTCTTCTAGAATTAAATAAATAGGTGGCCTTCACATATAATTCCAATATACCACTTGCAATCTCAACCCCCATAAGCACCTATTTGCCAGATTCAGGCTGGCTTTGAACTTTTGGTGATACCATATGCTTTTAAATTAACCCTTCTCAATACTGTACAAAGCTCATAACAGACTGCTAGCTTCTAACCAAATTAGGTTACTGCTAAGAACTCATCAGATAATCTATACAAAATAAGGAGAACATGCATATCCTAAAAGCTCAATGAATGTTAAAAATCAGAGATGACATATTGTGAATTTAGGATTAAACAACTATCATTTGTCTATAAGATCTCAATGACCTATACATTTTACATTGAACTCAAATCTCCAAGGACCTTTTTTCCCCCTTTGGGGGGAAAAAAATCACACATTTAAAAATAGCATTTAATGGAAGGTCTATTAAAATCACAATGTATCCTAGCTGTCAATTTCAAGTAGCACCTCTCTCTTGGAAAGCTTTAAGTACCCACTGGCGCAAGACCAGACACAGATGTTACAAAGGGACCTCTAAGGAAAAATGAATCTTAGTCCCAACACTTTGCATATGAACTTTTCCTTGTGCAAGACTTGTGTGGAGTTGAAAAATCAAAGATGTTAATATGCACATAATGTAGTACATCAGAAAAAGGGGGTGGGGAACCCTTTGGTTGAGTGAAATTTCATTTTATCTACTGACAATCTGGAATAATTCACATCCACTATACTGTAGATTTACCCTCAACTGACAGAAAAATACTATATGAAATGGAAATATATATATATATCATTTAATCAACAACTGATTACCTTTAAAACTTTGGGCTTCTTTTCCCTCTGGGACCTCTTGTTTTCTTTTATAACCTAAAAAAAAAATCAAATTGGAAAATCAGCCTCCATTTAAGAAAAAAATTATTAGCTCCCACCTCTCCCCTCCCCAATTTTTTTTTTGACTATTTCTCTGTAGAAATACTGGTGCCATTTAAAAACATCCACATGTTTGCTAGCAGAACCTAAAGAGCTTATGCAAAAATGTACACTTTAAAAAAGTCACTGGGAGAGGGGGAAAAAAAATAACCCAAAACACTTGCATAAAGATGAAGGAGGGAAATACCCTTGTTTTTTTTTCCCCCTTAAAGTCTGTCTTAATTAGCCTCTGTATTCTTCAGAGCGAAGCCCACGAGGTAGCCATCTTGCTTGGTTCTGCAGAGGAAGCTTCGACAGTGGAACAGTTCTGCAAACTGCTTTTGGTATTATTATCATGGTGTTTAAAGGCAGCCCTGGCCTGCCAGCACTGTAGACGTGCTGGGCATGCCTTTTGCAAAAACAGCCCCACAAAGAGTACAGCCAATAGCAATGCAGAACCTAGCAACTCCAAAGTGATCTTCTCAGCCCTAGCCCTTCCTAGACAAAGGATCTCCTGTGCAGTTCTGCTCCTCACCACAGGACACAGGCAGCCACAAGCTGCGACATGGAGTTCTCTGCAGAGGATCTGGTCGCGCCGAAATCACAGGAGGCTACAGCAAGGGGAAAAAAAAAAAAAAAAAGCATACAAATCCCCCAGGTCACCACCAGCACCACCAGCACCGGATCGATGGCGGAGTGTCCCAGATTAGTAACCTCTTGGTGGCTCTGAGGTCATGTCTGCATGGCGGGGGAGGGGGAGCGATGCTCTGTCTCTCAAGCCAAGGGGGCAACTTGGGCTTGCTGAAACTCTGGAAGGTATTGTGCATTTTTACTTTATAAGGCGAGGCTAAATATTGGCGATATTTAAGGCAGGGAGGTTATGTGAGGACAGAGGAGGCTCAGCTGTTGGGCTGCTGGTCTCATTCCTCCGAACCACACCTCTTTGCGGCAGGCGCTTTGCCCAGAAACACAGCAATCTGATTTCTGTCAATAAATGTCCAATGACAAAGGCGGATTAAGAAGTAACAGTAAGCCATGTAAGGAGGAAAAGGACAGGAGAAGGGGTGGACTTGTTTAAAAGACATTTGCCACCGAGCAGTCAGAGAGAAAGGATTTTCCCTTGCTGTAGACATTTCTGATGACCTTCATTTCCCAGAGAAATCTCTCCCTTAGTCTAAAGCTGACTCTCACTGGTCTCTCGGAGACAAAAGCACATTTTGTTGTTGTTGTTGTTGTTGGGGAGGAGGGTTCCTCCTTGCAAGATCATCTACTGTATGTCACCGCCAAGCATCTCCCCCTGAGCTGCCAAGCCGGTCCCACGTGCAGCCTGTCTGCACTGCAGCCTGGCTGTCAGACAGAGCCACCCACTTCCCTGGAACGGGGACAAAAGGCAGAAAAAGCCACCTTCTCTCCCCACATCTACCTGGATGGCCCCTCGCTCCATGCTTAGTGTGTGGTAGGCAAGGAGAGAGCCCAGCCGGCACCATAGCTGACACCTGCCAGACACTGGGAAAGGCGCACAGGAGAACTCTCCCTCCTGCTAGCCCCCTGGGGTTGCAATAGCCCAGGCTGTGGAGGATAAGAGAGACCAGGGTGAGCTGGCTGGTTTCAAGGTCACTGCCAAAAAGTAGAAGGCGTCCCAGGGCCATCCCCATCACCTTGACAGCTGCACAGATCTTGATTAGACAGAGATCTCCTCCCTCCCCCTCGCCCCCCAGTATGCACTCCCCTCCAGACCGGCAGGGCCAAAGTTTTGAGCAATTACATTTGATAGATTGGCAGCATGGCTTGCCTGACTGCTCCGCCAAAAATGGGTTCCCTACTTGTAGTTGGATCCAGAACAGATTCCCAAGAACTTGGGAAGAGCGAGGGCTGAGGGCCGAAAAGTCTGGGTTTCATCACTCCCACTTCCCAGGCTTTGGTTTTGCCACGAAAGCAAACTTTCCTTGTCAGAGGGGGAAGCCCAACATGACTTCTTTTCCTCCTTTGGCTTTTTTTTTTTTTTTTTTTACTTTTTTCTTAGGGCAGGGGACTGAAGCCAGCACCTCTTGTATGTTCAGTGCTGATCTACAAAGGCATCCTGTACACCTCCAGTCTGATCTTCCACTTATAGACCACGCTGCCATGGAGAAAAAGGAAAAAGAAACCTACTAGGTAAAATGTTCAGCTTAAACACTTGAAGAAAACCAATGGATTCTAACCTAATGCATCCACTAAGCTCACACTCCAGCTGAGAGCTTTCTGGGGAGCGGAGGGGGCGGGGGCACAGTGACAATGCTTAAAACAGTTAGAAATTCGGATTCTAAAAATTTGAAACAGGTATAAAACAACTTTATGTTTCTGTGGGTGGTAAGCGTCCATTTGCATGTCTGTGAGGCTCAGCCTGTGAGCAGGGTAGGACGCACTGAAAAGTCATTCCTTTTTAAGACAGAGTAATATTCCCTTGAATGTATATGCATATACATTTTAATTATTTATCCAGTCTTCTGTTGTTAAGACATTCAGACTGTGTATACCTTTGGGTTTTAGAGACTAATGCTGCTATGAACATCAGTATACAAGAATCCCTTGGCGTCACTGTTTTCAATGACTGAGGATGTATATACTCAGTAGAATTCAATCATAGGATAAGTCAACAGTTCACTTTTTTTCTTTTTCTTTTTGTCGATCGTTGGGCTTGAACTCTAGACCTGGGCACTGTCCCTCAGCTCTTCAGCTCAAGGCTAGCGCTCTACCACTTGAGCCACAGCACCACTTCTGGCTTTTTCTGCTTATGTGGTGCTGAGGAATAGAACCCAGAGCCTCATGTATGCAAGGCAAGCGCTCTACCACTGAGCCATCCTCCCAGCCGTACAGTTTACTTTTTGAAGAACTATCCCTCTTTTCTCTCCAGTAGCTGCACCACTTTACAACAGCTATGTATTCAGAGTGCCTTACATTTCTTGGAATGATTGCCTTTTTGTTATAAATTATATCCCATGCACATTTTGAATATGTGAATGTATGCATATATACTTTTTGTTGTTGTTCTGATATTGGAGCCTGGGCACTGTTTCTTAGGTTTTCACTCAAGGCTAGCATTCACCCACTTGAGCCAGAACTCCACTTCTGGCTTTTTGGTGGTTAATTGGAGATAAGAGTCTCAGGGATTTCCTGCCTGGGCTGGCTTTGAACATCAATCCACATATCTCAGTCTCCTGAGTAGATAGGATTACAGGGGTAAGCCACCAGCACCCAGCCCTACTTTTACTCTTTAACAGAAACCTCACCACAAAATGGTATTTGTCTATGAAATACGATATTAAATAAGCTGCATAGTGTAAATAACTAGAACCCACTAGCGACACCCGAACCCTGTCATTACGAAAGGACAAGAAATAAGTGCAGCACGGCCAACACCCTGGAAACCACAAGTGTAAGTCTACATCACATGGGAACAGAAAAGCAATTCGTTCATTGTGTGTCTTCAGTTCCTCAGAAGGAAAAATGCTTCACAGATGCTAAGAAACACTGGATACTGACTGCTTCTGGAAACCTCACTTTCCTTCCTCTAAAAAGCACAAAAAGTGGCAGGAGGGAAAACAGGTAAGAGAAATGGGCTGACTATACAAATCATTGCAAAGAAGCACCAATCACTAGCAACCACAGGGTAGCCGGCATGCAGTGATCACCTGCTCCTCCAGGGTTATAGCACCCCTGCTTCTCCAGGATAACAATCCTAGCATCCTATCAATGATGAGAGTCTGGAAAAACATGTTACCAGTGTAACCACTTTGCCTTAATCACACAACAGCTGTCAATGCCTTTTCTTTCTTTTTCCTTTTTGCGCTGGTCCTGGAGCTTGAAGACTTGGACATTGTCCATGAGCTGCTTTTTTTTGGGGGGGGGCGGTCCGGTCATGGGGCCTGAACTCTGGGTCTGGGCGCTGTCCCTCAGCTCTTCAGCTCAAGGCTAGTGCTCTACCACTTGAACCACAGCGCCACTTCTGGC